CTTGCTACCGTAAATAGAGATATGGAAGCGTTGGAAAGGATAGCGCCAACGTTATTTCCTAAGATGATGGCATGATATTAAGAGAGATGAGAGAGTGCAAAAAAAGCGGGGAGAGAGGAGTTTACTTCGCATTTTTTTAGTTTGCATTTAAAAGAAGGGTTTGTTTTGTACAGAGCTGAGGCTCTAAACAATCAAATTAGAGCCTGCTTCAAATAATGTCGAAAAATGTTGTTTCAATATTGAAAATCTTTGTGATAGCCTTAAAATATTTTTTTATATTTATTTATAATATTTAAAGTTTAAAAAGTAATGTCGATCGACATATCTATGAAAACCTGAAAATCTTGAAAATTAACAGTAAAAAAATACGTTACAAATACACTATTTTCAAAACTTGAAATCCATTTTTTCTCATGTCCATGTTTCTTGATGTCGAGATGAGGCATCAAAACAACCTCTTCTAATGAAAATTTCGTGGTAAGTTCAAATTTAATTGTTTAAAGCCTCGGCTTTATATAAACTTTTCCCTTAAAAGAAAGAAGGTCCTTTTTTTTCGATGGTCATCTTTGAAGAAAGAAATTATTCCTTTACTTTTGTGCAGAGATGTTTGGGGTGAGATGGATTCCATTGCTGACTTTGAGATGTAAATAAGATTAAATTATAATTATTTTAATCGTAATGGGAATGCTTAGGATTACTCATGTTTTCATTATCCACGTCGTACTTCGGAAACTCAAATTGGTAGTTGTTATTATCGCCAACTACATTCGTGAAATAAAAAACATTAATAAAAAATCAGAGTAGCCAAAAGCATTCTCATCAATCAAATTTTAAATTGTGAATATTTATTAACCATTTACAACTATAATATCACCTTAAAATAGGGTTTTGTTAGGGTGCCCACTATAGAACAATTTAGAATTGTACTCAATAAATTTCGACTTAAAAATCAACTGTGGTGGCATTTTCATCTATTCCAAAATACTTTTGGGGGCATTAAAAAAAGGGTGCAGTTGGCATACAGATGCATCCGTAGCTGTGTAGAGGTAAGGTGCACCTTCAAATTTTATCATGTTATATAATTTTGATATAAAATGTTCTTAGGATTATCTCAAAATCTATTTTTATATCTAATTATAAAAAAAGTAATTTAAAAAATAGTTAAAATCAAGTAGATCTATAAACACATGAAAATCTTGAAAATGGACGGTGTAGATAATATGTTGTAAAATACACTATTTTTTAGACTTAAAAATCTTTGTATTTTTCATGGTCATACATCTCGATTTCGAGATGATGAATCAAATGGTTTTTCAACATTAAAACGATATTTTTCGATGGATTTTTTAGGTGCATTCGTAGTTCTACATTATAAGGTTGCATCTTTATATTAATGATCTTATAGGATTTTTCTTCACCCATATATCTAAGATTCAAATGATCACTGTTAAAATTGATACAGATATCTAAAAAAATTATCATATAAGTATGGTATTTGACTTTTTTATATATCCGTACCAAATTTAATGATATTTCTTTGAAATCCTACACGAATAAGTGGAGAATGGTCGTGCACGATCATTTCTCAAACTTTTTCTTTAAAAAATTGCTTTTTGCGGCGTAGAGTTTTTTTTCTCCCTCTCAATTTTGAAGTACCCAAAACCAGGGCACCCTCTTCCTCTTCCCACGCTCCCATAGCCATAAGCCCTTCCACCTACCGGAATTAGTTTCAGCTACCGGAAAATCGCCATAGCTCACCTGTCCATCAGCCATATTTGGTATTCATCTCTCTCTATCCTCTTGGCCTTTCTCTTACCTGTCTATCTCTCTGGCGTTTTCAGTTGGGTTTTTTCTTCAGGTTCATAAAACACAGAACCCATCTCTCTCTGTCTCTCACCTATGTTTTCAATTGGGTTTTCTTTGTTTTCAGTTGGGTTTTCAATCTCATATTCATAAAATATAGATACCGTATTCAATTGGGTTTTCATTCTCAGATTCATAAAACACAAAGACATAACTTTTGAAGAGAGAGCAGCCATGGCACCAGGCTTGTATCTGAGAAACAAATGATTTCTTAACCTCTTCGAGCTGGTTGTGCAAGTTTTAAGAAGCTCCAGATAAGCATTACACCTTGAGAAAGTAGCAAAGGCTCTAATTGTACCATTTCCATGTGTTTCAGCTGAACTGTAACTGGTTCTGACCCAAAAACAGGCAGCCAAAAAATGGTCAGAATTTTTAGCAAGATTTCTCTTTTTTAAGAAGCCCTTAACCATGGCGTTTGAAGCTGGCGAAGGCCCTCTACATTAAGAGACATGATTTTTGGAGAGAGAGCAGCTGGTGAAGAAGTTCAGGAAGATAGGAGCCGAACATCTGGACAACCCCAAATGATTTTGTGGTGGGGTTTATTTTACAACATTTTAAATTGGGTTCTTTCTAATGGGGAGTATAAAGTCCCGCAGACCACCCAATGAGATGTTCGAGAAAGGGGTGATCATGAACGCAGTAAGTACGTGTTTCGCGACAGGTATGATACATGCCTCGTATATGGAGTGGAGTGGGTGGTGGGCCAGCATCGGACCTTGTATAAGGTATAGACCATCCCCTTGTACAAAGTACCATCCCCCACTTTAATTATTGAAAATTATAAAAAAAATATATATATATATATACAAAATTCATCTTACCCAAATTTTACATCGATTTTTGGACCCCTGCAATAATAGAGTACACAAGTGTCGGACCGCCCTAAGACAACTATCAGACCGAAATTATCGATTTTTGGACCTTTATAATAAAGGAGCGCATAAATGTCAGACTGCCCTAAGAAAACTACCTGACCGAAACTAACTTCTATCGGATTGCCCTTTACATAATATCAGAACCTGGAATCTAGTAACATCTACTGTCGAACCGTCCTTTACAACTACCATACCAAAGCCTTGGAATCCAATAACATCTATTGTCGGACTGCCCTTTATAACTACCGGTCCGCACTTACACAGTATCACCAAACCGCATTTTACACAGTGTCAGAGCCTTAGTGTCGGAGCCTTACTGCCGAACCGTACTTTACATAGTATCAGAGCCGTACTGCCAAACCGCATTTTACACAGTGTCGGAGCGTTATTGCCGGACTGCATCGGACCCTATTTTGGTGGGATATAGGAGATAGAGGCATGGGTAAGGTAAAGTAAGGGAGGGTAGTTTAGGTATTTTTTATTTTTATTTTGGTTGGAGGCGTATTTGCATAGAAAGTGTATTTGGGAAAAAAATGAAAAAAAAGTTAGGTTGAGGTAAGTTAGATAGAAAGTGTAATTTTGGAGGTTTTTTTGTAATTTTTTTTTAATTATTAGAAATAAAAAACTTTGGGAATTGGTTGAATGATCCGGTCCAATTCAATTAGGGAATTGGTTGAATCATCCGGTCCAATTCACTTAGTTCGATGACCAGTTCACTTAGTTCGATTGGTCAATTAAAAGGGTCCCGATATATTAAGGGATCTAAAATGCTATCAATGATTTTCGATTCGGTCAGGGCAATTCTAATCCAGATCACTCAATTTGAAGACGTTGATGTATCCATAGCGTACATTCCCTATTATGCCCTTTATGTTATATGAAATTTCTTTTCAACCCCACATTACCTATTATGCCCTTTATATTATATGAAATTTCTTTTCAACCTCAACCAGCTGTTTGGATTTGCTCGCGAGGTAGACTTAGGTAGGGGTGACAACACGCCGGACCACCCTTGGCCCTAGCCAAGCCCCAATCCCTAGAGGCTCATACCAGCATGAACCGGGGCAAAGAAGCCTTGGCCCGAGCCCAATCGGCCCTATTACGACCCCAACCATCTGTTTGGATTTGCACGCGTGGTAGACTTAGGTAGGGTTGACAACACATCGGGCCACGCTTGGCCTAAGCCAAGCCCCAATCCCTAGAGGCTCAAACCAACACGGACCAAGCGTAGAGGCCTTGGCCCGAGCCCAACTAGCCACGTCACCATCTCAGCCCGGCCCGGCACTTGATCATATTTCTTGGCCTTAGTTATTGTTATTATAATTTTATATTTTTTTTTATTTTGGGACCAGGCCAATCGGACTGTTCGAGCCAATTGGCCCTGTACGTATTGCTCTATTGGCCGCTCTCAGCAAAAAAAGAAGAGCAATGACATCACCAAAACATTAAATGATCCGTTACTTGGTTATTTATAGAAACTGTTGAGGATTCTCCACGTATGCCATCCTGTTATCAACTAAATTGGCCAGGAACGAAGACCTAACCCAAATAAAGTACAAAACTTTTTCCTTTCTCGCCATTTTTGAGGAACTAAAAGTCTTCAGCTCATTAAAGAGAGGTTTGTGGGAGGGTGCATTCAGTGCTTCATGAATAACCTGTCCGCCTCGGGAATTCAATAAAAAGTCGGTGATTTTGGGCAGAAGTTGTTGGGATTCTCTCGATTTTCCTGGTTTTCAGTATTTCAGAAATCGTCCTATTATAACCATGAAGGACTTGGGTCAGGTCAAGCTACTTGGATTCTGACTTGTGGTAGGAGCCTGAGTCCGATATTTGAAACCTCGTATACACTATTGAGTAATCAGAAATAGGTATCAATAACTCTACTGTGACGTTCTCTCCATCTTGAGTTTGTTGTTGTCTCGACGTTGCAAATATTGGTTCTAAGCTTATAAGGATATAACTTCTTTATGATTAAGAAAAAATAATCTTCAAAGACAAAAATATGATAGAAAATAGAGAGATGATTGGTAGGACTTGAAAAATCAAAACGTACTCTCCAATTAAAAGGATAAGTGAAAGGAATGAAAGATTTATAGAGAGAATGAAAGAACAAGTGAAAGGAATGAAAGATATATAGAGAGAATGAGAGAGATGACAAGTTGAAAGATACATGAAAAGAAAGACATGATAAGTAACACTAAAAAACAGACTGAGATAGATGAAAAGAAAGCAACAAGTTACATAGTGCAGCGTATTTTTCTGATTAGTAGTACTTGATGAAAAATAAAATTGACAACACAAGTAGACGTACCATAAGTGGCTCTTACATGCCGACATAATATGTAGCCTAACATATACCTACCAAGACAAGACACAAATGCAAATATCAATCAAAACAACAATCAGTAACCCACACTTTAAGCCGATGGTGAGAACCTCACGATGCTTGCTCTTCAACTGCAATCTCCTCCATCATGGAACCAAGTGGGTTGAACCCTTGAACCTCAGAGCACTTGTTGAGCAAGATGATAGGGCTAAGGCCTTGGTCTATGGCCATGAGCCCACTCGTGTCCACAGGCATGAGCCCGGGTCCGGGTTCAGTCCAATGCTTACGAGCCACCATCACCGAGTTTATGACATCGTCCGTCGGGTGATAAACCGAGAGGACATCAAACCCGTGGACCTCCTCAGGCTCGACCACAGGGTACAGAAAAGCTCGAGACCCGTGAGCACTCCTCAGCATCAAGAGTGCACCTGGGGCCATGTGCTTAGCCAGGTGCTTGACCACCTTGGCTTTCTCTCTCGTGCTCATCCCCACAAGGGCAGCCAAAAACACCACATCATAGTCCCTCAGCCTATGGCTCACATCCATGATGTTAGCATTGTGAAAGAACATGCGCTTAGAGAGGTCAGGGTGTGAGGAAACAAGGCCAAGAGCCATGGAATTTGCACCTGTGTCTATGTCATAGTTGTGAAAATTGGTGAATTTCAAGTGGTTTAGTGCTAGTGTGATGGAAGTGAGGGGCAAAGGGCCCGAACCCACAAAAGCCAAGGACTTTGGGGTTTTTGATGTGTATTGGCTTAAAATATTGAATTCTAGGCGGCTAAGCTTTAGATAGTTGGAGTTGTATGGGAAAATGTGAAGGTGGTCCATTGGGCTCTCAAAGGAAGCCAAGATTGAGGAGAAGTGAGCCTCTAAAAGGCCCTCAGCCTCACCACATAGCCTTATGAGCTTGGCTCTTATCTCTTGAACCTTAGGACTCAGCTTGGATACATCAATTGAAGAAGGTGGGGTGCAAATTGAGACAAGCTGAGTGAATAGGGTGTTCACCTCAGGTGATGGGCTAAGGCTCTCAAGCTTTGATATTTTGTCATAGAGCTCACACACCTTAGTTACAAGCATGTCCTCATGAGCACCCATGTCTGACACTTTCCAGCAGGGGGGAGGACGATGGCCGGGCACGCGCTCTAGAGAGAGAAACTAGACAGAGAAAAGTTCTCGGTGGCACGCGCCGCGGCTTTGGCTTGATAATCTTCTACCGTCTTTGAAGCAATTTATTTATGGATGGATGTAGAGAGAAGAGAGAGAAAAAAAGAGATAGAGAGACCCTGGTCCACATGTACATGGCGATGGTAGACTTTTGAATTCTTTTAAGCTTTTCTTCCTTTCAATGTGGTGGAGAAAGATACATGAAAGGTAGCAATCATCCAAATCACTTTTAGTTTCTTTCTCCTATATGGGTTGAATAAGAGAGGTTATATCCGAGGGAGAGGCATTATCAATCAAATGGACGGTTGATATATAACAGACGGTCACGAGTCCTTCAATCTACGCTGTCCAAAGACAATGACGAACCCCATGATAGAGGGTGGGGCCCAGTGAAGAATGACATAGGCTATAATGCCAATGCCTACAAATTTCATGTGGCGCAAGGTTGGCCCACTTTTGAACCAAGAGTGTTCACCGGAAAACTTTGGAAGACGAATTATGTCGACATTCAATGTAGTATAGGTAGAAATAAAATTTAAGGAAAATGTTAAAATATTGCAATGGCTTTAAAGCCTCACCTCAAAAATCGCAAAAGAGTTTATATTTCTACTGTCGGAAAATATTCATATCGAACATGTTCACCTTGTTCAATATGGTATAGAAAAAATTAGAATTTCAAACCCTAAAATAGCATATATTGTAATCCATAATATTTGTACCATTTTCTTGAGCTACAGATTTCATGACCAATCGTGGAAATAGATGTTAAATACCATTGTAGGGATTTTCTATGTCCAAAGTGTTTTTTTGGATAAGATTTCGGGCTTTACTTTTTTTTTCAAGGCCTAGGCCTTATAGAAATGCATCCATAAAATAAAGTATTTTACTAAGGTTAAAATGTATAAAAGTTTAAGGTAAATCCACGCATGCACCCAAAATAAAATTTGAAATTATAAATATTTCATATTTTGAGGTGAGGCCTAACTTTTTGAAGTTTTTTTTTTAATTTTTATCTTTCCCCTTGTCCAAAAGTTCAACTTTCTCCTAAAACACAAAAATACGAACTGTTGGGGCTGTTAAAAAATCCAAACCACCCAAAGCACAAAAATGTGTTGGACAGTTCAAAAGTCCAAATTTTGAGCGGCCAATATTCTTATAGCTTTAATGTGTTTAAGATGTGACCAAAAGTTCAACTTTCAAACTAACCAAATGTGTAGTTTCGTATTTTGAGAAGTTTGAAATTCCAAATTTTAAACCACACTCCTAGTTTTTTTAGGTTTTAGGTGGTTTGATAGTCAAACTTTATAAAAATACAAATAAAAAAAAATAGCTTCAAAAATTTTATAGCTCAACATAAAACGTATTAAACTAATAAAAAATTTTATATAAGGTTGCAACTTTAAAATGTAGAATTAATGTACACTTAAAAATCCATCATAAAAAAGTTGTTTTAAAGTTGAAAAACCCTCTCGACATAAAGATGTGTGAATATAAAAAGAAAAAAGAGTTCAATTTTCAAGATTTTCATGTGTTAGTAGACCTACTTGATTTGAATCATGTTTTGAGTCTAAAATTTTGTAGTTAGAGATAAGCATCGATTCTCAGGTCATCATGAGAACTTTTGACTTCAAAATTATATTCTATTATAAAATTTAATGGTGAACTTTACTTTGATGGTTTAATGATTCAAGGTTGCAACCTTACGGAACCACACCCTAAAAATAAAGGTCATTTTTAAAATTCTAACAGTTAAACTTGAGTCTACGCATAAATTTCCCAAAATTTTATGGTAACTAACCGTTTTGACATTTTGGAATTTGACCAAGCAATAGTGAGGGTTCTATTAACGATATTGCTGACGATGGTGTGGGTGTGAATAGGGGCTCCATGAAAATGCCATCTTGTTTATCACTTTTTCTTTTTGCATTACCTAATATGGCTACTTTTCAAGACATGACTTTTGGGAAAAATAAGGGCCAATCTTCCTCCAACTTTATAACCATTTGAAGTCTCTTTTCTCTCTCACACACACGTTACTTCTGGTTTTGTATAAGAAGAGGGGCCACCATTGAGATGAGTCAAAAGATTCTACACTCCTGTAGGAGCATGTAGTTTATCTGGTCCCTCCAACAAAATCCTACTTGTGGGTAATTTTTAATACTTCAATTTTTGGAGATGTAACTTGTTCACCCTGTCTACCAATCTCATCAAAGGCATCATAACTATTGCACTTATGTGTGCTAAGATTGTATACAATGAAATCATTTACTTTCGATAGGGAAGTCGCAATTACTTATAACCATCCGATGTGAAATTTGATAGTTTAGGTATGTCATAAAGTTCAAATTTTTTTTTTTTGTGAGTTTGAGCTTGGTCCATGAAATAAATGCAGCCATCCAATTACACGTCAGATGATCAAGATTAATTGTGGCCACCTTATATCAAAGATAAATAATCTCATCGTATATTTTCCCATATATGCTTGAAAAATATAATATCATGTAATTGAATAGAGATCAACCAATTTCTCGATAGTCGGAAGGATTTAATGTTCTGAAATTTAGGATCAAGATTCTTCTAAATTCTCTTGTGGTGATCTGATTTGGATATATGAACTTCAGTTTGAAAAAAAAATATTTGTCCAATTGAGTGAGTGTACTACGGTCTTTGGACTATATGGAGTAAGTATACAATGTGATCCCACAGGACTTTACTAGCCGTCCTAAGATAATGATGATAATTAAGGCGCATGCCCTAATGAAAAGGCCCGGATCCTCAATTTCAAGACTCTTCTCTTACTTTATTCATATCTATGTCTCTCTTCTTTTTTTTTAAATGAGATTTAATAAAGTCTCACCTCACCCCGAAAGCACTTTCGGCAACAAAAACCTCTATGACAGCTCTAAAATCAATTTTCAACAACGACAATAAAATGCGAAACTCAAAAAATGGTATAGTTCTTGTGGATATATGAGCATTTATTTTTAGGGGGAAATGGACTGTCTAAATAATTTGTTACATAATACACTAATTTTAGAGCTTGAAATCTTCTTCTTTTTTTACAACCATAACGCTCAAGCTAAGATGATAGACGTAAAAGTTTTCTAATGCTTGAATTGCAATTTCGATAAGTTATGAGGAGAGGTTTTACTTATTTTGATCGGGCTGCTGGCCTATCAAACCACTTTCCTTTTTCTTTCTCTAACACATGTTTACATACTTCATATGCTAATAAGATACCTCGTATTCCTTCACTGATGGAAAACGTCCATTTTGATAGTTCTAATAATATGAAATAGACAATAATAACATAGAGAAAATATTGCCTCAAATGATTTGTTCTTAGTGTGCTGAGTAGTGTTATATTATAAAGTAATGAATAAATATTTTATGTAAAATCATGTGGGGAAATCTTTGTCGATATTAATTATTTGATGAGATCCTTTTCATCTTGCAGGGCAAGAAAGTATACGTTTTCTAGTATTGAAAGATAATATTATAATGAAGCATGACCACTAATAATATATGATTTTTTTTTAAGAAAATAATTTTCTTTAGATAAAGCGAATGAGATGGTTGGAATCATCGAGTGCAGAGCCCTCTTTCATACGTACCCTTCATGTGATTGGAATCACTTGGATGGGTTCTGTTCACACCAGTTTTTAATTGGAATATATTATCGAGGGTTTTGTTCACACTTCACACAATCAAATCTCAAAGGTATGCCGCAGGTAAGGTGAGAGTCCAAGGCCCATTTCGATGCACCATTTTTTAAGGACACGATGAAAACTATCCTAGGTTGTGTTGGAAAGGGTGTCTTCTAACTTGGTATACTGCTATTCAGGGATTCAACTTGAGGAGTGGAATCCCGACAAAATACCGCCAATCAGTGTTGGAAAAACAGGTCAAGTCAACCCGAACCCAACCAGGTTACCCGGAACCCGTTAGTGAGTGTAGCCGGTTTTGGATGGTTAGGGTGGTCTAGCCTGAACTTAAAGAAAATAAAAAAGACATATAAAAATCCAAAAAAATGAATTTATTTTGTATTAGGTTTTTAAATGTTTTCAATTGTTTTGGAACATATTGGAAAGTATTTTGGCCACAAAAACTCATTTTTATATTTTTTTTCTTGTTTTTAAGATTTTTTTTTAAAATACCTTTGAATACAACTTGATTTTTTCAAAATCCTTTTTTTCACAAATTTGTTTATGTTAGATTTTTTTAACGTTTTATATTGTTTTGGAAAAGAGTGGAAAATATTTTGGCTATAAATACTTATTTTTATGTTTTTTTTTTCCTTTTAAATTGTTTTTAAAATATCCTTGGGCACAAATTGATTTTCCAAAATCTATTTTTTCACAAATTTGTTTGTGTTAGATTTTTCTTAACGCTCTCTATTGTTTTGGAAAAGATTGGAAAGTATTTTGGACAAAAATACTTATTTTTATATTTGTCCTCCTTTTTATATTATTTCTAAAATACCCTCGGACACAAATTGATTTTTCAAAATCCCATTTTTTTCAAATTTGTTTGCAACATATTTTTTTTAAAAAAAAATTCTATTGTTTTGGAAAAGATTGGAAAGTATTTTGGCCATAAATACTTATTTTTAGATTTTTATCTTGTTTTTAATATTATTTTTAAAGTACCCTTGAACAAAAAAATATATTTTTAAACTCTATTTTTTCACAAATTTGTGTGTATTATATTCTTTTTAATGTTTTCTATTGTTTTGGAAAAGATTGGAAAGTATTTTGGCCCTAAATACTTATTTTTATGGTTTTCCTGACTTTTAAGATTATTTCTAAAATACTCTTGGGCACAAATTGATTTTTCAAAATCCATATTTTCACAAATTTGTTTGTATTATATTTTTTTAATTTTTTCTATTGTTTTAGAAACTATTTTGGCCAAAAATTATTATTTTTATATTATATCTAAAATACCCTTGGGCACAAATTGATTTTAAAAAATCTGTTTTTCTTCTCAAATTTGTTTGTGATAAATATTTTAAAAAATGTT